AGCAGGTGAGACCCGTCCTGATGGATGACATGTGACATTCACAAATCACAAAGCATCTAATCTTTTCCCCCTGATTTTAAGTGAGGGTGGGATAGATGCTTTGTGATTTGTGAATGCCATGTGTCATCCATCAGGATGGGTCTCATCTGCTAATCCGTGAGACCTGGTCTCATAGAATTTTTTTCCGGGGGAGGGGGGGGCCGAGTGAAGATGCTCTAAAATGGGCAAGTTGGTGCCGTAACATACGAAAATATGGGTCAGTTGCCAAAATAACTTTCTAACAACCAGGCAAGTAGATTACAGGCCACTGGCAGGCCATCAAGTAATAAGTCGATGAATGGTTCTCTAGTCAGAACCTAATCCCTGAATAGCAACGTAATACACGATAATGTACTCCCTCCGTGGGAAAATGCAAAATATTTTAGGTTTTACTACTAAAGTAGTGGTCTACGACGTCTTATATTTGTTTACTGGGGAGTAACTCAAAGCCGAGGCCGCTAAGGTGAAATAAATAACCGTCTCGCTAACTCTCGGTATGCTATATCTGCGAGATCTTACATTAAGATTCATACAAAAAAAAATAGATTTTTTTTTCTTTTTCACATGTTATGTAACCTGACTGAGAATTTCTTAAATCTCTCTCGATTGAGATCTATAAATAAATGAACCGAATTGATGCAAGTCAAGATATTGTACTGGCTACCTGCCTGACCAAAACGCTGGACAGAGCACCGGTCATCATAGCCGTAAGGGTGTTGGGGGAAGCCTTTGGAGTTTGGGGTGTGTGCTTTATTTTTGTTTGTGGAAAGCAAAACCGTGTAGTAGGGAATTGGAGCCCCACCTTCCATTCTTGTGCATGCATTCACGTGTGTGCCTGCCTGTGTGGAGCTACACTGCACATCACATGTCTGTACATCCAGTTGAAAGCTCGACGCGTGCACGCAGCTTCCCATGGCCATGGCCATGCCAGCGGCTGAGATCGTCTCATCACCGGCGCGCGGTCCACTGTCCTGCTCGACACGTACGTCGTTTCCCCGCGCATCATCGATCGCCTTTGCAACACGGCCTCACGGGCTCGCTCTACTTAAACAGCCCTACCACCCACCGTGAGCTATTGCCCTCCACCTTGCCTCCAACCCTGCCTTCACGTAGAAGCACACCAAGACCAAGCTATCTGACGCTCGTCTCCCCCAAGGGAAGACCGACCGACCACGACCAGAGAAGGTGAGTCTCCTCCCACGCCGGCCGTCTCCCCCAAGCCTCCGGCACGGCAGTCAATCGTTTCTTTCTCCGTCCCTGCGTTGTTGTTGTTGATCTCCTCGCAGGCGAATCATCTAACCTGCGTTGTTGTTGATCTCCTCGCAGCTCCACCCACCATGAGGACTGCCGTCAGGCGCGCCAGCGTAACGGCGCTCGTCACCGCCTGCGTCACCGTCGTCGCCTACGCCGTGGCCACAGCGGCCCAGTACGCAATCGGCCGCCACCACCTCTGCAGCCAGGTACCAACCTAGTAACCCGTCTACTCTGCTGTTAGGCTAGATGCTAGACTTTCCGGCCGATCATCAGATCACACGCCAAACTGGCATCCCGGCCGTCTGAGTGCAGGCTTTCTTCCTCCTGCGCTGCGTCAGGGTGACTGCCGCGGCGGCCGACGAGTGGAGGGCCCTCTGGCTCGCCATGCTCTGCTGCGCGGTGCTCGAGGCGGCCGTGGCGGCGCTGGCGCTGCGGCTCCCATGCCGCCGCCTCGCCCTCGCCTGCCTCCAGCTCGCGGTCACCATGGTCCGCCACTGCATGTGCGCCCGCGCCGGCCTCCTCCTCCTCGCCGCCGACCCAGGATACCTCTTCGGCAGGATCTGCGTCGGGTTCGCCTTCTGCTTCGCAGCGAACGACGTCGCCAACTTCGTGGACTTTCTCCGTGGAGGTGACAAGTGAGGATCATGCTCATGAAGTACTGCGAGTAGTTCTAAGTGATAATAAGTACTCCTATGTGTGAATCGATTTCGTAGTATGCATATGATGATCGAGTGCCATATGTGTGAATCGATCTGCTAGCTGCAGTGTGGTCTGTGGTGTTAATTATATTGGACCGATCGACTATACTAGTTACTCTATTTGGGCTGTATAATTGGCCTGGATCCTGGTCAGTATTGGATGTATGAGGCATCAGTTATATATGCCATGCATGTTGTTTATGAAGAGATGCTTCAGATTGATCAATTATAGTTTCAGATGGATATACATCTCAGTTATAGTTTTAGATTGACCAGTTATATGCATTCCATTCCTTGGGCCAAATTAAAACAACTCTTCCTTACCACTGGAGTCCTGCTTGCCACGTCTAAGCTGGAGCACATACGATCGGCCGTGCAAGTGTGCAAGTGCAAGTGCAACGCAATACACAAGGAATGGAATGCTACGGCAGATAGAAACGGCTAGTAGGATGCAATGCAAGCACACTACAGGGTCATCATCTGTTCAACCCGGCTCTCAAGTTTGAGAGGCGCATGGAAGGGGGAAAACAGCTGTCCGAACCTCGAAGCTACACCAGTGATTTTGATCCATAGCACTGACCATGTGACAAACCAATAAAATGCAAGTACAAAATTTTCTTAATTCAGTACTACTCCCTCCGTTCCTAAATATTTATCTTTTCAGGGATTTCAAATGATTACCACCTACGGATGTATATAGATATATTTTAGAGTGTAGATTCACTCATTTTGCTCCGTATGTAGTCACTTGTTGAAATCTCTAGAAAGACAAATATTTAGGAACGGAGGGAGTAGTAGTAAAAGCTGAAATGGCAACGTTTTCAAATTTCGTTTTGGGGCGCAATTCAGCTCAGCAAGCCATGTGTTCAGTCAGTCACTCAGAAACCAAGCCGGACTCTTTATTCAAGATTTATTTCTCACGTTACAGATGTAGTAGTACTATAATAGACAAGCCGACTGCTTTGCACCTATATACAACAGGGTCACCCCCACTATGCACATTCCGAGCCCTTGAAACCCTACGTCAGACGATTACCTCCACAAAAATTTCGCACCCTAGGCTGGAGATCAATATGCCTCCACTCCCACTTCGGGACATATAATGGCACAACAATGAAACGACGGGATACATAGGATATACAAGCTAGCTACAGATCTCCCCTGATCACACTCAAGGGGCGAGCACGAGAACTTTAATGGTCCCCTGGCTGTTAGCAGTTAGCATAGTAGGGCTATCGCTCTTCCAGCAGACAGCGCTGATGAAATAAGACCCGGGATCATCCTCGGCGTCGTCCAGGTCCGTGGATAGAAACCGATGGCTGGAAGCAGGTTTTGAGATAGCCTGCAATTGGTGCGGAGTGGCTTCAAGTAAGACCGAGAGAAAGAATGATCTAGCTGCTCAGTTAAGCAATAGCGCAGCATATGAAGCACGTGACAGGAAAAAAGAATCATGTCAGAAGCTCGCAATTACCTTGTGGTAAACAAAAACCTCATTTGTTTCACTCCCGCAAGCAATATATTCGTTATTTACAGATAGTCCTACGAAGTTCTTCTCATTTTTGTGCCCTCTGAAAGTCCTTAGCTGCAAGATATTACCAGATTAACATCAAGGTCAACTACAACTACTATTTTATAGGACTCGCTCTGTAAACAAATATTAGACGTTTTAGGTCACTACTTCAGTGACCTAAAACTTATATTTATTTACACAGGGAGTGACATTTTCTTTCAAGCCTAGCAAGAAATAATAGCTGAACAAGGCCGTTGGACAAAGCTAAGAGACAAAAGTGAAAACGTACTATGATCAATCACTCGACAAATGAATTCACTTTAAAATGGGGCCAATGAGTAATGAACACAGCAAGCTAATTGCAAATCCGAAGAAAAATGCCCCGATGTCGCGTGAAAATTCAATTTGCAAAGTTGACATTTCCTATGCATGTCACTGATATTCTTTTATCATTTTCCCAGAGCAAAAGATAATACGACATATAATTCTGGATGTGAGCCATGAGCTATGGAGAAGTTCAAAATACTATATATCTCCAGTTTTATTACTTCTAAGATAAAGAGTACATCCAAACATGCAACTACCATATGCTACACAACTGCCAAAGGCAATAATATAATAAAATCAAGGCTCAGATGATCTCACTTACTGGGCAATTGTCCTTGACATCCCATAACCGTAACGTGCTATCGGTCGATGCAGATGCAAGCTCATTATTTGATAAGAATTTCACATAAGAAACAGCTTTCTTGTGCCCACCAAAAACATGGAGAGGTGCACTTGGATTTCGTAAATCAAAATAATGAATATGGTGATCAGCAGATCCGACCTGAAATATTGTAGCATCCTATGAGTAAAGAGATCTTTCTATTTCTATTCCGTTTCGGAAAGAAAAAAGATCTTTCTATTTATTACTATAATACAAATCAAGGAAATGGATGCTACATACTGCGACATAGTAGCTCGATCCAGGATTATATTTAACAGAGCAAATATTTGCCTTCATATCAATGTTAATGGCACTTGCTTCCTGATTTGTGCACCACACTTTGACCTGGCATACACAGTAGTAGATACCGGTCAGTTATTGCAGAACCACTATAGAACTGCAGTGCAGATATGCAACATTCAGAGGTTTCAACCTGATGACAAAATATCCCATTATTACCCAACCAAGGAAGGTTACAATCAAGCTTTCTTCCTTATGGGAATAGAAAAATAACTGAACCATTTTGGCTCTGAAATACCTTGCAATCATCACTACCAGATACTAGCATCTTGGGCTCTGTACGTGAAAAATCAACACTCCATGCTCTTTTCTCATGCTCTTCATACTCCATTACACTCTGTCAAAAGCAGTACGCAGATAGCATAAATTACTGAGAACTACACAGCATTTTACAAAATAACTGTGGAGCAGAGCAAGGTTACCTGGCGGGTTTGAACATCCCAAACAGTAACTATGCCTTCATAATCACTACTTGCTATAACATTTTTTGAGTACTTGTTCCAGCTAAGGCAGCTGAGTTTAGATCTGGTAGCCATTTCAACAACTGGACAGTGGACATCTGATGGCTCATTAACAACCTAAGAAGCAGGATAAATCAAATTTGACTAACTCCAAATTCTGGCTACATGCTTATGGTGAACACAAGTACCCTGCAAAAGTTTACTTACTGTAGAAAATTCAAAGACTTTAATACGCTTCGAGACTCCAGCAGTAGCGAATAGCTCATCATCACGGTCAAATTCGATACTGCGTTTAAAGAATATCAATATTGTCTTCATTTTTCATGGTAAGGACTACAATGATAACAAATGCAGTGACTTGTGGATCCTTAAGCCAGAAAAATACTCAAATGATGTCAGCAAACAATTTTTTGGTAGATTTGTCCCTTGTTGTACACTGTAATGATCAGCAATAAACTTTGGTAGATGATTATTTATTTATTTTGCAAACTGAACACCCTTAAAGTTGATGAATAGGAGCCTATAAATCCCTCACTCTACCCCTATGCCGGCTTTGGAGCTCTGCTACAGCACTACCTGCCTCAGATAAAATTATGCACAGAAAATTATACTCTGATAAAATTACCGATGCTGAATTTTTTTTAAACACTCACCTGGATACAATATTTGCTGAGTGGAACAGATCTCCATGTCTAAGTTCCGCAATTACACGTAAGCGACTGAAACATACATGAAACAGGACAAAAACATGATAAGCTCGATGAACACCATAAAAATTACTCTGAGCATATTATGTTACTAAGAACAAATAATCAGCAGACCTATATCGAGTGAATGTTGTAAGCACAGACTGAAAATCTTCAAGACCTTCATGATAACCTTCTCTATTCATCGTAACAGCATCCTCCTGCCTGTGAGACTGCGCTCCAGTACGCCGTCTTTGCAAATAGTATTCTTGAAGCTCGTTAAACTGCAATTTTAAGTCCTTGCATTAGATAGTAACAAATAGCATGGGATTAGCACGGATCATTTCATCTAACACGTTACAAAAAGAATGTGCCTACTACTAGTCAATGTTCTCGACTACTATTTTGCATATACTAATAACCTACTTGAAGTGTGCAACAAACAACAATAATGTTTAGACATAGAAGAGTACACATTTTCTTAAATAAAGAGACAAACCTGCGCTTGAACTCGCCTCTTCCGAGCAATAACATTACCCGACTGTAGAGGGGGATTGGGAGGGTCTGAGCTAGCAAGGGCATCTCTTCTTTGATGTCCTTGATGGCTTGCCGGTGCTCTCAAATCAAACCTCCTATTACTTAACCCCCCTGGAGATGATGTGCTAGGTGGTGCCCGAGAGTTGGGAACAAAGGGACTACTAGGTTTGTCCATAGGCGAAGGCCACATCTTTGATGCAGCAGGTTCATCCAAAAGCATGCGCAGCCTCATGGAGTACCTTTCTTTTGTTCGATACAGATCTAACCTATGTCTCTCCACACTGCTTATATCATCTTTGATGTACTGCAGGTCAGTTTGAATCTGTTTAAAAGGAGCCAACATTATTAACAAGAATATACTTCATGTAAAAAAAACTACACCAAAAAGTAAGTAGGCATTTTTCAATAAATAGCAAGACGGAAAAAAAATTGTGATATAAAATTTAATTAGCATGTACTCTCTCCGTCCCAAAATATAAGACGTTTTTGCAGCTCAAATTGAACTACAAAAACGTCTTATATTTTGGTACGGAAGGAGTATGAAGAACCAGAAAATAAACGCTTATATCTATATTATCAGTAGTCAGGACAAACCTCATTCAACTCTTCAAGCTTTTGCTTTCTAAGGCAGTGCAAGAAGACTAGCAATATTTGCATATTTGTCTCTGACTCTTGTTGTTCCATTTGCCTCTTCTTCTCAGCAATCAAAGTCATAAGGCTGTCTAGCTCTTTAACTGT